ATCAAAAAGGTAAAGGGAGCCCTGGCCATTGTGGCTCCGTTGGTTGGAGCATCATCCCTTGCACTGAAAGGTCATCAGTTCAATTCCCTGTCAGGGCACATACCCAGGTTGCAGATTCAATCCCTGGTCAGGGTGCATGCAGGTTGCAACCAACAGATGTTTCTCTCCCTCTCCCTCTCCCTTTCTCTCTCTCAAGAAAATCAATAAAAAACATAAAAGACAAAGGGAAATGCTAATGTTGTAGCCTTTGATACGCTGGCTGCAAACAATGAAATCTTCAATGAAATTAATAACTTTTGTGTAAAAAAAAAAAGTGGGGATTTCCCGGGGAAAACACTACAGTATGGTGGGATCTTGTGAAATGTAGCTACGTTTTGAGAGGCGCAGAGCCAGAATTGTGGTCAACAGCTCATTGTTAATTGTATTTCAATGAAGAATATTCCCTCAACTGGCAAGGGAGAGAGCGTCTGTCCATCTTCACCAGCACAGATGACCCCTTGGTGTTAGTGCTTTGACTGAGTTGGAACCCTTCATCCTGCCGCCAACCTCAGAGCCACACTTGGGGGATGCTGCAAGAAGCAGGTCTCAGAGGGAGCCTAGATTTGGTGGGGAAGAGGAACACTCTTGGAGAGACCTGCAGGGGACTTTTTAACTACATACTGTAGACTCCAGTAAGTGTCCTTCATTCAGAAAAATCAATTTGATGCCATTGTAACTAGGAAAGGAGCAAAAGGGAGGCCAGACGTTATAGGCATGTCCTTTGGGCAGCATCACCAGGAAGCTGCAACTCTGCACTCCCTGGGGAGCCACCAGTCCGTTAACCGCAGAGCACAGGGGGAAGACAGGCACATGAGCAATGAGTCAGAGTGATACAGAAAAAGTGCCTCAGTCAAGCCTGGGGAACCATGAATTGGCTAGAGTAGGCAGGGCCACTGCAAGCCTGTAAAAAAAATGGGAATACCTAATCCCCTAAGGAGCTTTCTCTCTTGGCTCTGGTTCCTTTGGTTTTGCTCTTGCTTCCTTGCATTCCCACATGTTCCCTCCGTGGCCATGTGACTATGTGGACCCCACACACAATAGACTAATGGACTGCAGCTGGGAACACAAACTAAGCTAGCCTGGTGCTGAATTAGACTGTGTCCCAACATGGAACAGAAACTCTGGACACTGGCTTTGATTTTAGTTCTGCTGAAAGCAAAATTGGCCTTCTATGACAGGACTGAGGGAAATGGGACCTTGGAAACTCAGAGGTTTGATTCCACACAAATAAAGCTTCCTACAATGCCTCATCCTCCCAGGGAGTCTCAGAAAGTTCCTTTTCTCAGGATCTTGTAAGAAGCCCACAACCATGAGCAACCAGGGGAGACGAAGATTTCTCCCAACTGATAACAAATTCACCCCTTCCAAAATCAAACACGAAAGTGCCAAAGCCATAACTTGAGTTTCTTGTAACACTTTTTTCCTTTCTAAAAACTATGGTTTTTATCCAAGGTTATAAAACACCACTAATAAAAAAGACTAATTATTGAAATTACTGAAGCATTAATAAATTAATGGAATAATAATGTACTCCCTGTATTTCAAATTTCTCTTCCAAATTCAAATTCTGTTCTCATACAGCATTTGCCATTGTATCTATCACTGACTCTGGGGTCACAGAACCCCTTTGAGGAGCTGGTGAAACCTAGGAATTCTCTTCCCAGAACGTACAAGTAGACACAATTTTGCACATGACTTTAGAAGGTTCATAGACTCTCCTAGTCTTCTAAAGAAAAAGAAAGAAAGAAAGAAAGAAAGAAAGAAAGAAAGAGAGAGAGAGAGAGAGAGAGAGAGAGAGAGAGAGAGAGAGAGAGAGAGAGAGAGAGGGAGGGAGGAAGGAAGGAAGGAAGGAAGGAAGGAAGGAAGGAAGGAAGGAAGGAAGGAAGGAAGGAATAATGAAAAGAAAAGAAAGAAAGAAAATCCCTAAGACCTTGACCTTGCACTTGGTATTATATCAATTTCCTTTCAGTGGTTAGATTTTTTACCCGTTTACATGGCCCCTATACTAAGCACAGTACCAACAAACTATAGATGCTCAAAGGTAAGGTTTGCTATTGACCCAACTTTTTAGGTGACATTGGTGGCATGAAGAAAATGATACTTAGAAGTAGGGAGAAAGTGTGTTTATGTTGTTCAAGGAAAAAAAAAAGAAAAAAGAAAAAAAATTAAAAAAAAAGGCCTTTCCAGCTGTTTCCTTTTTTTTTTTTTTAATGCTTTCCTAAGGATATGTTTTTATTGATTTTTAGAGAGATGAAGAGATACATTAATGTGAGAGACATCAATCGGCTGCCCCAATGGGGGATTAGACCAGCAACCTTCGTATCCAGTGCCCTGACTAGGAATCAAACCTGCAACCTTTTTAGTGTATGGGATGATGCTCCAACCAAATGAGCCACCCAGTCAGGGCCAGAGGTTTCCATTTTTACTGGGATATGGATCAGTTGGAAACTTCACAGCATGAAAATAGAGAAGTTTCTCTTGTAGGAACAAAATCCCTAATGCAATCTTAGGCTGCATCTAAATCACTTGAGGCACTCTCTATTTTTCCTCTAAGGTTATTCTTGTAGCCACACATCTTTTCCAAAAACTAAGGTTCCAGTAGACAGCTACTCTTTCATATATATATATATATATATATATATATATATATATATACACACATATATATATATATTAACACATCTGCAAAGTCCCTTTCGCCAAGTAAGGTAACACTTTCACAGGTGATTAGGATATGGGTGTCTTTGGGAGCCATTATTCTGGCTACCACAGATGGGTGGTTTTTTTGCTCCCAGAGTAGTCAAAGAATTTTTCAGAGAGAATACTTTTTAAAAATTGATTTGCTGCCCTGACTGGTTTGGCTCAGAGAATAGAGCATCGGCCTGCGGACTCAAGGGTCCCAGGTTCGATTCCGGTCAAGGGCACGTACCTTGGTTGTGGGCGCATCCCCAGTGGGGAGTATGCAGGAGGCAACCGATCGATGTTTCTCTCTCATCGATGTTTCTCTCTATCCCTCTCCCTTCCTCTAAGAAATAAATAAAAATAAAAATAAATAAATAAATAAAAGTTGATTTGCTTTCTTTTTTATTATTGATTTTTGGAGAGAGAGAGAAAGGAGTAAGAAACATTGATGTGAACGGGAAATAACAGGCTCCCTCCCGCACGAGCCTCCCAGGGATTGAATTTGCAGCCTGAGCTTGTGCCCTGACCAGAAATGGATCCTGCAAAGTTTGGGTGCACAGGACAACGCCCAGCTGAGCCACACGGCCAGGGCTGGCTGAAGAGAAGACTCTTTAAAATATATACATAGGCCGAGACCGGTTTGGCTCAATGGATAGAGCATTGGCCTTCGGACTGAAAGGTCCCAGGTTCAATTCCAGTCAAGGGCATGTACTTTGGCTGCAGGCACATCCCCAGTGGGGAGTGTGCAAGAGGCAGCTGATCGATGATTCTCTCTCATTGATGTTTCTGACTCTCTATCCCTCTCTCTTCCTCTCTGTAAAAAACCAATAAAATATATATATTTTTAAATCCTTTAAAAAAAAATATATACACACACATACACACACACACACACACACACACACACACACACACACAGATAGGGTTCCTGGGCCTGGCCTGCGGGGATCAGGCCAAAACCGGCCCTCCAACATCCCCCAAGGGGTCCCAGATTGTGAGAGGGCAGTTCTTGGGTGACACCCCCTAGAATCAGGCTCCCTCCTCTCTGGCTCTGGGTGTGTCACCCAAGAACTGCAGCTGCCAAGTCATCACAGCTCGGCAGCTCTTGCATTGAGCATCTGCTCCCTGGTGGTCATTGCATGTCATAGCTACCAGACCATCTACCAATCGCTTAGGCTTTTATGTCTATAGATATACTAGAGGCCCAGTGCACAAAATTCATGCACTTGGGGGGTCCCTTGTCCTGGCCTGTACCCTCTCACAGTCCAAAAGCCTTTGGGGGATGTCCTACTGATGGGCCTAAGCTATCCTTAGTGCTGCCGCAGAGGTGGGAAAGGCTCCTGCCTCCGCCCTGCGCTCACCAGCTGTGAACCCAGCTCAGGGCTTCTGGCTGAGTGGTGCTCTCCCAATGGGAGCGCACTGACCACCAGGGGGCAGCTCCCACATTGAGCGTCTGTCCCCTGGTGTGTGGCATAGCGACTAGTCATTCCACTGTTTGGTAGGTTTGCATATTAGCCTGTTATTATATAGGATATTTATTGATTTTTGTAGAGGAAAAGAGAGGGAGATGGAAACATCAATGATGAGAATCATTGATCAGATGCTTCCTGCACACCCAATACTCAGGATCAAGCCTGCAACCCAGGCATATACCCTGACTGGGAATTAAACTATGACTGCCTGGTTCATAGGTTGATGCTCAAACACTAGGCCACACCAGCCAGGCTGACAAGAAGACTCTTGATTGGAATCTTGAATAGGTTTACTTATAATTTCCCAGAAACAGTGTTAAAGTGGCACAAGCAAAGGAATTGTGCTTGCAGAGCTGCTAAGCAGAAAAACAGATGAGCCTGGAAATCTGTAAGTAGCTCAGTATGGCTGTATGGCTAATGATTAGGAAGAGGGCACTTTCTAGAGATTAAATCAGAGAGGAAAAGTAGAAACTGAATCATGAAAGTTTATTTTTTTCAAACCATATTAAGAAGTCTGAAATTTATTTACTTGACCTATGCTATAACTTTAGCTCGTGCTACTGTTTCTTTAAAATTTTGACTCACTTTTTGTCCAACAGAATATTATTGATTAAATCACAGGTCTAAGATGTTAGTTCTATCTTTATGATCTGTGTTGAAATGAACACATAAGTATCAAAATAAAATGTTCTTCCTTGGACTCCTTAAAGTCACCTGTGCATAACCAAAAGTGTATGCCATATTTTGAGAAACAGAATCAGAAGCAATGAAAGCCACGTAAAGATTTTAAGCAGCCAAAGAACTCCATCAGGTTTGCCTTGGATAGGCATTTTGGCAGTTAATTACTTTGGACTGAATGGAAACAAGTCAACATCACACAAAAGAAGACCACAAACTAGGATACTTCCACAACAGTCAAGGTGAGCAATGGGACAAGGAACAAAGACAGGAACAGGGGGAGGGAGGGGAAGGTCTGATAGAAAAACATGCAGGGAGATACAACTAGTGGTAATGACTGGGAAAAGGAAGGAATTGGGGACAAACTCCAGGGTTCTAGAATGGACAGCGCAGCAGATAACTGTGTATGCACCAGGACACTAAATGGAGAGAAAGTCGATGGGGAGAGCAGGGCAGAGTTGAAAGGAAAATGATTATTTTGCTCTGCAACATGCTGCATTTGAAGTGTTTGTGGAACACTCATGGAAGTGCTTGAATGCCTGAGTGTAGGGTTCGGGGCATTTCTAGAGCAGTGCTGCCCAGTAGCAATATACAGTGAGCCACCATGTAAATGTTCAAGTGGACATGTTTAAAAAAGGTTAAAATGATGCGGATGGAAAAAAGACAAATGAAATCTATAATGTATTTTATATAATCCAACATATGTAAAATATTACACTTCAAGATGAATCAATATAAATGCTATTGATTTTTTTTTAAGTCTTCATAATCCAGTGCATTTTTTCCCACTGAGAGAACATCTCAGTTGACATTCTGAGCATTTGGTAGCCACCAGTGGGGAGTGGCTTACCGTATTTATTGGACAGCATGGCTCCAGAAGGAAGAGCATGAGAAAGTCAAAGACAACCTGATGAACATCAGTGCTGGGGTGGGTGAATAGGAGTGAGACACTTAAAGAGGACATACCAAAACAGATTAAGGTGGAGCCTGAAGGTCAGAGGGAGAATGAGAGAAGAGCTAACATCAAACCGGAGAATTTCACCGAGGGTCACAGAATGGCCTCGAGTGTTGCAGGGAAGTCCTCTCTGGGTTAGGCACCTGGGCTCCAAGGAGACTTAGCCCCGTTTAAATCCTGGCTTGGCTGCTTTCAGCTGGGTGCTGCGGCAGAGGCTGATGCCTGGTCCACCTATAAGTTCGCCTGAAGCTTTGGGAACGGGGTTCCAGCCCACTGACAGCATCCCACTTCCACCAACTGCCTTTCTGGCATTCAGGGCTGCTCCACTGGCCAGGAAGTCCCGTGAAAGACAGGGGCAATCCTCCGCCACAGAAGGATGAGTCAATGGATAAACACCTCCACTTCCTTGTCTGCCAATGGTCCGATTTTAAGGGAGTGTACATGCTCTGTTGCTGTGAAAAATTACCACACTCCGGTTTGAAACAACACACATTTATGATCTGACAGTTTTGTGAACCCAAAGACTGATATGGACCTCACTCAGCTACATCAGGATGCCAGCAGGGTGCATTCCTTTCTGGAAGCTCTAGAGGAAAATCTTGTTTTCTTACCTTTTCCAGCTTCCAGAAGGCTCCTCTTTCCCCTGATTTGTGGCCCCATCTTCATAGCCAGCAACATTGGGCTGAATCCTTCTCACACCACCATCTCTCTGGTTCTCTTTCGACTCCATCTTTCACTAAGAAGGACCCTTGTGATTACATTGGGTCCTCCCAGATATTCTAGGACGGTGGTTGGCAAACTCACTAGTCAACAGAGCCAAATATCAACAGTACAACAACTGAAATTTTTTTTGAGAGCCAAGTTTTTTTAAACTTAAACTTCTTCTAACACCACTTCTTCAAAATAGACTTGCCCAGGCCGTGGTATTTTGTGGAAGAGCCACATTCAAGGGGCTGCAGTTTGCCGACCATGGTTCTAGGATAATCTCTTTTAATCAAATAATTAGCAAACTTAATTGCACATGCAACCTGAATTCCTCTTTTCTTTGTAAAATAACATGTTCACAGGTTCCAGAAATTGGGACAGACACCTTTGGGGTGAGGATGGGAGGGTGGGGATGGAGTGTGGTTCCATTATTCTGCCCATCAAAGGGGGTTCCACACAGTATCGCTGAAGTGCCAACTGAACCTGCTGTCCATAGAAGAAACCCACTCACATTCTCTCTGGCTTTCTCCCTCCCGGTCTCATTTTGTCCATTTTTTAAAAATATATTTTATTGATTTTTTTATAGAGAGGAAGACAGAGGAATAGAGAGTTAGAAACATCGATCAGCTGCCTCTTGCACACCCCCTACTGGGGATGTGCCGGCAACCAAGGTACATGCCCTTGACCGGAATCGAACCCGGGACCCCTCAGTTCGCAGGCAGAAGCTCTATCCACTGAGCCAAACCGGTTTCGTGACTTGTGCTTCCTGAGATCACCTCCCAAATAAACTCTCTTCCCCCAAAACCTCATCTCAAGATGTACCTTGGAGGGACCCAAAGTAAGAGTAACATTGGGTAAGTTAGTCCGTCTAAGCCTCAGTTCCCTCCACCATGAAAGTAAAAAGCATAATAGTATTTTATCTTACCCTGATGCTGTTGGGAGGATTCTGAGATGACCATAAAACACTGTGGGGTGCATCGTAAGTCAGGAAGTCAGCTATTGTTGGAGGGGTGGCCGCTGGAGCACAGCAGGCACCAGACGTGCACAGAGGTGGCCTTCCCTCCAGGACACTGGCCCTGATGACCAGAGGGCTGGGCTGGGGCCAGGGTGGGAGAACTGGGGGGTTTCCTCTGAGACCATCCATTTTCTACTCGAGGTGCATCTGCTACTGAGGGCAGTCTGGTACAGACTTTGGGAGAATAAGGAACACTAGGAATAGGTACCTAAAGATTTTTGAGCTTCCAGAAAAGTCCAGTTGGCCTGAAGGCTGACGGGGGCAAGGACTGAGAGGAGCTCTCGGGAGTGAGCATTTTCTGACGATGCTAGCCTGACTCAGCAGGGACCAGCTTCCAGCTCATCCAGCTATTCCATTGGTGGAATCTCCGCTGGGTTCCATCCAAGGTCCCACTGTCTCCCCCTCCCCTCCACCCCCACTCCCCACTGGTTAATCTCACCTTTTTCCAGGCAGCAAAATACATTTACATGTTGATGGACCTACATTTGCATCTCAAATACAGAGCACACCCCCACCCTATTTTACTGATTGCCTTATGCTTAAGACTATCTGGCAGGCACCTGAAACATTTCGAAAGCTGAACTCACCCCAACAGTTTCTGTTTCAATTTGTAGCATCAATAACCACCCCAGTCTTCGAAAAATAGAAACCTAAGGATCATCTTCTGCTCCATCCTCCAACTACACATGAAATCCCTTCAAATCCCCTCCCTTTTCTGCATTCCTGCTGCTTCAGTGCAAATACCCTGGACTTCATGTTTGACTAGTAAGTACCATTACCTCTTCATTAGAGATGTGGCCCCATTTTTCCCTCTGGGAGAGGGCATCCCCCAGATGTGATACAAGCTTCTTATAAACTAAACTTGTAAAATAGAAACTGACACTCTGTTGACTGCAGCCTAAAAACCGAACTCCTCAGCACGGCACTTGCACCTTCCTTCACACGGGGCCCTAATCACCTCTGTAGCCACCCCCTCCCCTAAGCCCAGATTCCTGTTTTTCTAATGTGACTTTTGTTGTTGTTGTTGTTGTTGTGCATTTTTTAAAAAATTTTATTTATTTGCTAAAAACCAAACAAAACTAAAACCCCACAATACCCCACAAAATCAATTTTGAAAGGGAGGGACCAGGAAAGAAAGATGCCTGTATTCTGCCCTGATTCTGGAGTGGTGCCTGGGGACTGTATCTGAGACTTCACGGGTGATCCCGGTTTGCCAACCACAAATCACATCCAAGAACCCAGAGAAAGGACACAAAACAGAGGAGCCTGTTTCTCATGTTGTCATCCGCATCACTTCTGCATCCTCACCTAGACGAAAACCCTAATTGTCAAAGCAATTTTAAGAATGAAAAGGGCACCAAAACCGGTTTGGCTCAGTGGATGGAGCGTCAGCCTGCGGACTGAGAGGGTCCCAGGTTCGATTCAGACCAGGGACACAGCCCCAGTTGGGGCGGGGGGGGGGGTTCAGGAGGCAGCTGATCCGTTTCTCTCATCGATGTTTCTAGCTCGCTATCTCTCTCCTTCCTCTCTGTAGAAAATCAATAAAATGTATTTTAAAAAGAGAATGAAAAGGGCATCCATCTGTAATACCTTAATCAATAAAGAAAAAAAGAAAAAATGAAAAGGGCACCTGCATAGCCTACAAACCTGACTGGCAACCTAAAGCACCTGTCAGCATCTGTTACCCTACACACTCCTGCCCCAAAATACATTGGGAAAATGCTGAACCAGCTACTCCAGAAGTCTGGTTCTCCGCACTCCTTGGTTTCAGGGGAAGCCCTAAAATACATAGTCTGAGCCCACTGCGCTTGGTTTTAGTCAGCAATGCAACAGAAAGTCGAAAACGTGAAGAAGTTAACTTCACAACCTGAAGCTCTCGTACCGCTGTTAACTCACACACACACACACACACACACACACGCACGCACGCACGCACTTGGATGTGTGAAGAGCAGACAATATAACTGAGGAGCCTTAAGCTCGGATTCCCTCCCACCCCATCACAAGTTCAGGAAACTTGGCGGGACGCTTCCATGTTCACTGTGGCTCACACTAACACCTGAGCCGGGCTAAACAATACAAGGGAGAGCCGCTGAGGTCGGTGATTGTTAGCGACTCTTCGCTCGGCAGAGGCACCTTCTCCTCTGCTCCCACGTTTTTCAAAGTGACTCCGTGGTCATTGTCTTCCCGCGCCATGCGACGTGCCGCGCGGGGAGCAGCCCGGGCGCCCCGCACCGCACGGCGGAGCCCCGCCGGGTTTGAGGGAGCATTCGGAGCCCTCCCCGCGGGTCAAAGACAAGTCCGTGGCCTGGGCGCCAAAGGCTGCTGCAGATGCAAGTCGCAACTTTTGAAACCAATCCCCTTTGCATCATGCAACGGATGCCACCGCTCCTCGCCTCTGCAACCCCCCACCCCTCCCCCGAGACCAATCATTGCCGCGCTCCGGCCTGCACGGCGCCCCCGCCCCCTTCCCGGGCCGCACGCCGCCACGGAGCCGTTCCGGCCGCGGCCCGCCGCCCCTTAAAGGGAGGGAGACGGCCCTTCGAGGCCACTGGGGGCGGCGCACGGCGGCCCGTACCCCGCAGGGGGCCCGCGGCGCCGGGCCGAGCCTCCGCGGCGCCCAGCGCGGCCCGGGCTCTCCCGCCCTCCGCCCTCCGCCGGGAGCGGCATTTCTATTCAGGCGACGCTTAAGGGAGCCCGGCGCGCCCGGTGCATTGTGGGAGCGGCGGCGGCCCGTTCTCGGGAGGAGGCGGAGGGCGCGAAGCGCACCGGTGAGTGCCCGGCTCGGGGAGGGGGGGCGCGACGCCAGGCTTAAAGGGGAATATCGGCCCGCAGGCCCCGGGCGGCCGTGCGGATCCCCCTCCGGGCCGCCCGGGCCGCCGGGAGCCGTGCACAGCGGCGCGCGCGAGCGCTGCCTGCAGAGGGGCCGCGCCGGGGCTTGGTGGGGCCGCTTTAAAAAAGAAGCGCCGCCCGCGCCGCCGCCGCCGCGCGGGCCGGGGAAGGAGGGAGGGAGAGGGCGGGGGAGGAGTGGAGGGGGAGGGCGGCGGCGGCGACGCAGGGGTTAATTTTTTCGCCCGCCGACATTTTTGTGCGGCGGCGGCGGCCCGCGCGCGCGGCGGGAGAGCCTAGGCCGGTCCCCCGGCGCGGCGCCTCCCCGCCCCCCCTCCTCCCGCGTGCGGCCGCCGGCCTAACCTGGGCGCCCCGGCCGGGCGCGGGCGGCCCGCTGGCCGGGGTCCCGCCGGCCGGAGTCCCGCCGCGCGCGCTCCGCCGTGGCCAGTGGGCCGCGCGGTGCCCGCCGTCGCCGCGGCCGGGAGGACGGGGTGTGGGCATGGCCCCGCCAGCGGCACCGCGCCGCCTGCCCCGGCCGCGGCCAGCCCGCCGCGCCGCACAAAGAGCCCGGGCCCGGCCGGCCTTGCAGAGCAGCAGCCTGAGGTCCGAGGCGCCCCGGGGTTCCGCGCCCGGTGCTCCGGCGGCTTCCCTGTGTGCTTCGTGGCGAGCGCCGGGCCGGGGCGCCCCGGTCGCCGCGCCCCCTCCGTTGTCGGGGTCCCGGGCGTAGGCCTGCAGGTAGGTGGGCGCCGGGCAGGGCCGCACCCTCTCCCCGCCCTGCCGCGGCCCCTCAGCCGCGCTGCCCGCCTCGCCGTCTGGTTGGAAGAAGTGTAAACGTGGCCCGGAAAGGGAAGAGTTAACCGTTACTTTAAATATTCATGTTATTGTTTTAAAGGTGTAAACAGGCGGCTTTGGGGCTGGAGCTGACTGACGGCGATTTTGCACGTGTGCACAGCCCCTCTCCCCCGACCTCCATTAATGGCTTATTTTCCCAAGCAGCCCGCCTCCCTCAGGCCCTCCCCACCGTGCAAGGCTGTGTCTCTTTAAGGTTCTGATGTGGGTGTGATTGGAGTCCCTAAGTGCCAACTTTAAAACTCCTGAGTGCCTTATGTTTTAGACTTTTTTCACTTTAAAAATATTGCAAGGTATAAGTCATGTTGTAAAGGAACTTGAGTCCCCCAAATTCCTCTGTTTCCCCCCCCCTATTCTTCTTTGAATAGGGATTAGAGCAGGAAAATAACTGGATGTCTCGTGAGTTGGTTTTTGTTGTTGTTCTTGGTAGGCGTGAGGCTGTGCTACATGCGAGGCATTTTGAGAGGAAAGGATTTGTTTTTGTTCCAGACTCTTTTCCAAGTCCACGTGCTGTTGGACTTTTCTAACTCGGATGGCTTCAAAATTCCATCTCCGTCACTTGCTTTTTGCTCTCATGCCGGCCTCCTTTTGGACAGGTTGTGTTCTTGGAAAGTTGCACCGTTGTAGCTTTTCAAACCACACTTCTTGCTCCCCCAAATGTTTTTTGTAGAGACGGTTTGGATTACTGCCCAAACTCGGGCTTTGTGAGATTTATTTAAATGTGATGTCCTTCCCAGGGGGTTGAAAACGCTTATAAATGTGAATTGTGTCCTTGATTATACATTTTATAAGGGAAACTGACCCTATAACTTTGGATGTCTGTAATTCTATGCCCAATAAAATATCAGTCGGGAGGTTTGAGAACACATGTGAGCTTTTGGGTTAGCCCCAAAGGTTTCAAACTTGAAAGTGCTTGTTCCAGAAACTTCCAATGGTACCGAATAACTAGTGATTTAGTACAGCATAAGTTATCATTTTAGTTCTGCAGTGAAAATATGCAGTAGCATATTTTGTCAATGATGTGTGTGTACAAGTTAAGCAGATGTTTGCTTTCTAGGAACGAGCACTGCAGTAAAACTTTACGCCACTCTTCAACCCTGTTGTGTTAAACAGCCATTCCAGTTTTAAAGTTGTGTTCTTTAGTGAGATTACCTGTTAGTTTTGTATACTTCTGGCTCAATTTTCTAAAATTGAATTTACCATCATGAAGAATTTCATCAAATGCCTTTTCATCAGTGTCCTTTTCCTGCAAAGTATTTAGTAGGTGCTTTATTTTTCTATGTGATATAGCAAAGATATCAGAAAAGTCATTTTAACAGAACATCTAATTTCTAAATCACAGTGCTTCTGGGTTGACAGATGAAGTGACTAGATGTTTTCTCATAATGCTTCCCACTAGAAGCAATTGTGACTTTTCAAGATGGCACTGTCATGTTAACCAGCTGCCCCGTAGTTCCATCTTCAGAGGGACTAGAGGCCCAGTGCATGAAATATGTACACGGGTAGGTCCCTAGCAGCTGCCGGCCAGGGCCTCCCTTCATTCCACGCCACCCCCTGGTGGTCAGCACACATCATAGCAAGCGATCAAAATCCTGGTCAGTCAAACTCCTGAGGGGACACTTTGCATAATAGGCTTTTATATATATAGACTAGAGGCCCAATGCATGAAATTCGTGTGCGGGGAGGGGGGGTATCCCTCAGCCCAGCCTGCACCCTCTTCAATCTGGGATCCCTCTCACAATCCAGGACTGCTTGCCTGCCTACCTTCCTGATTGCCCCTAACCGCTTCTGCCTGCCAGCCAGCCAGCTCACCCCCTAACCACTCCCCTGCTGGTCTGATTGATGCCTGACTGCTCTCCTGCCAGCCTGTTTGCCCCTAACTGCCCTCCCCTATAGGCCTGGTCACCCCTAACTGCCCTCTCCTGCAGATCCCCCCAAACTGCTCTTCCCTGCAGGCCTGGGTCTCCCCCACCCCCAAGCTGCCCTTCCCTGCAGGCCTGGTTGCCCCCCAGCTCCCTCCTTTGCTGCCCTGGTCACCCTCTAACTGCCCTCCCTTGCAGGCCTGGTCCCTCCCAACTGCCCTCCCCTGCTGTCCATCTTGTGTGTTGGAATAATGGTCAATCTGCATTTTACTCTTTTATTAGATAGGATAGAGGCCTGGTGCATGGGTGGGGGCCTACTGGTTTGCCCTGAAGGTTGTCCCAGATCAAGGTGGGGGTTCCCTTGGGGCATGGGGTGGCCTGGACAAGGGACCTATGGGGGTTTGCAGGCCAGTCACGCCCCCCCACCCACACCCCCCGACCCAAGTGGAGGCCCTGGTATTTGGGGTTTATTTATTCTACAAT